AAAAAAAAAAAAAAATTACTGACTTAGATGATGTGGAAGGCAAAAGGTCAAACACAATAGGAATGCTACAATAAAAGACCATGGATACCCAACACAATCTCTGGAAGAATTCCCAAACCTCAGCCGTATAGTACAGTGGACTAAAGTATTATTCGATCCTCTGTAGATGGGTATGTAATTATTTGAGGTCATCCACAATAAAAATATCTGTCTATCCATAGTCATACTGCAGGACCACACCTGCAACTAAGGTCTCTGGACTCAAAGATTTTTCTACCATATTTTGTGGTCTTTGTTCTCCCAAAGAAATATGAAGAAGAAACTATTTTAATTTTCATATCCTGAATCAAACTTTGCCAACCCCAATATGAAATAACATGAGCACTGGACAAGAAATCAGGGGACCCAGGATCTGATCCTGGTTCAGTATTACCAACTAACTAGTCCCATGACCTTGGGCAAGCAGCTCAGAAAGGGTTAGTCTTGATATGATATAACTTCTAAGCTTCCGCCATTCATAGACCACATTAATTTTAGCCGCATTCATGTTGTTATACTTGATAAGCTCACATTTTAAAAATTTAAATGACTTTAGCCTCGTCCTAAACAATATTTATGAAATTACATGTTCAATATAATAATCTTCTCGTTTGCACTAAAATACACGAATAAATAAACACATGAATGGTAACATCTGCCCACTTACTTACTATACACTTTGGGAGGAAAAAAAGATGATTTTTAAGGTCACTCAGGGCCCCAAAATTCCTCTATGCTAATTAAATCTCAGGTTCGATATCATAAAACTCGAATCAAACATCATCATCTCATTGTTGTAAGGAACAAACATCCCCTGCCACTCCCCCCAACAGGTCCTCCTCTATCACCACAAAGTTGGCCGTCTCCCTGAGAGAAGGATTTGTTTACTTTTACTTTAGGGTTCTTCCTTTACATACAAGAATTATTTGGGCCACCGAATTTAAAACTGGAATTAATGAAAACGGAGAAAACAGAGAAAAATCACTAAATAAAAGGGATATGCATGTGTTTCTCAATTCAATGACAATCCCATAACTAAAATGGGTTTGTTTTTGCTGATGCTAAGCAAAAAAGAAAACCCTCATTCTCCAACTTTTCCTTTTTCCACTCTTCCATTTTCACTTTCCTCGGTCTCCAAAACCTCTTTACAAGGACACTGGAGCCTCCCTATGAGAACTGAGTTATACTAAAGAAACAAGACACAAGTACACAGATGTGTCACTGGCTAGTACATATTATTTTAGTGAAGATAATTTCTCTTTAAGGTTCTCAAATTATCAAGAACTGCCACTGCTTGATACCTGAACTAGCCAGATGCCATCTTTGGTGTCTTCTACAAGCTCATAGAAGTGCATTTCACCACTGAAATTGGTACTAGAAACAGATTCAGATGCTTCTTCTTCCTTGAGAGCAGAATACAGCTCACCTTCCATCAAGTCACCTGAAAGAAAAAAAAAAAACTAGTAAGATTTCAAAAATCCTACGCGCCAATTATAATGATTAAATCCATTTTTTCCACCGTTAAGAATCACGTCACTGAAATTTCACTGCATTCTATAGAAAAGAACAGTAGAACCAGAATACACCCACTTTTGAGAATCATACATTCAAAAACATGTAATAATTTACTATGAGCCAGGCAAAAGTGGTCAAAACAGACAAAAATCCATCTCTTATAAAACAAAGTTCATATTTCAGAGGGGGTCATCACATAATTATTAGGAAATTACTTAAATTTGTACCAATCCAAAAAGCCATCACAATATTTTTAGTTTTGTGTATGGCATGTCCAGGCTCCATATAATTTTGTAAACAGTATGGTTTGTATGTTTCTGACGTAAAAGATTTAGGACTGGGTTCACAGAACTTGCCATCAGCCCTGCCTAAAATGGCAACAGGGTTTGTATGACTGGAGGCTAGAACTTTATGTATTAACTGGAACAAACTCCATATCCATATACAAATGTATAGCCTGTATCAGTCAATAAAAAGGAGAGAAAAACACTACCGTCAAATTATTTTAACTTTTGCCTTAAATATCAAGCAGAAAGAAACCAGGCACTGCACCATCATGATGGGAACAAAACCATTCAGAACAAATACTTAAATTTTAAAGTCAAACGACCACAGCAAGATTTTTCTGCCACAGAACGTGATGAGTCACATTTTTGTGGGCCTGTGCACTCTCTAGATCATCCGTGGAGTCCTTATACATCAGGCCCAAAGGCGGGCAATAATAAAGTAAAAGTCAAAAGGGGAAAAAAAAAAACAACGTGCGATAACATCATTGGGCCACAAAGACGCTTTGGTTTCGGCAGTTAAGTCGCTTCGAGTTCCTGGACGTCTTGCACTGGACTCCATTTCCCCCTGCGGTAAAACAAAAGCCGCCCTAGACCCGCCAGCAGAAGAGGATCAAAACACACGGTTTTCTCTCCCAGGCCGGACCCACCGCCTTCGCGGGGCGGGTTCTGCTGCTCCCCCCGGAGTCTCACGCCCCTCGGCCGGCAGCCGTGCAAGCGTCCAGGGCCGCGGAGCCGCCATCCCTGCCGGCCACGCCGCGCGTCCCCGGGGCACCGAGAGGCCACACGCCGTCTCGCGGGAGACACGGCCGGCAGACGCCGCGGGAGCGACCAAAGGGACGGCCATCCCGCGGCGACCCCGGGTGCCCTTCCCAAATCACGTCCCCCTTCCGGAAGCGCATCCCACCACAGATGCACTTTGCCCCGCGGTGCCAAAAAAAAAAAAAAAAAAATT